CCCCTTACCGGTCATCTTTTATTAAAAAAAAAAAAAAATTAAAATAAAAATGAGAGGAGGCTGGCCGGTTGCTCAGTTGGTTAGAGTGCAGTGCTATGACACCAAGGTCAAGGGTGCAGATCCCCATCCTGGCCAGATGCTAATAATAATAATAATAATAATAATAATAATAATAATAATAATAAATTTTTTAAAAAGAGAAGAAATGGAGTCTTTGGTTCTTTTGAACTCAAGTGAAAGAATTAACTAGTGAATAGATGATATGTCTCTCGATTCTTGAGAGAAAGATAAGGACATGTTATACTGAATATGGAGGCAGTAATCCATTGAGATAAGAAGATGGTAAAGGAAGGAAGTAAACTATTTTTTAATGAGAAGGTAGAGTTAAAGGGAAAGTTAAGGAGGAAGAAAGTTGTATAGTAGCCCTCAGAAGAAAAATAATTCACTTCAGAGGCACAGCTACTACTTCTTTTTACACAAACACATGTATATGGGATTATCAAATATATTAATAGTGCCTATACTTCTTTTTTTTAATGGGAAGGCTAAAAAGATTGAAGTTCTCAGCTGGCTGGTTAGCTCAGTTGGTTAGAGCATGGTGCTGATTACACCAAGGCCCAGGGTCCAATCCTGTCCTGGCCACCTGTCAAAGGAAAAAAAATTAGAATTGAAGTTCTTTGGACATTCCAGATTTTCTCTTAAAGGTAATGATTTAGATTTATTGCTTACAATAAGTTTGTGTGTGTAATAAACTGAAAGGCAATTAAGACCCCCCACCCCACCCCCCCGCACCGCAACGTGCTTGGGTAATATTAAACAGTGAATTTGTGAAATACCTGAGATTATGTTTCACAACCACTAATCTTCAATGTTGAGGATTTATAATGTTATCTTTGTTCCAGTTTGGGTTTTTTTTTCTGTAATTCCTTAGACATACGTGCATATTTTCCTTTCCACGTAAGAGGCAAGAACAGACAAATGTCATCATAGACATTTCTAGAAGTTAGTTTCCTGGTTGCTCTGAGGAAGATTGCCTTTTGTTTTGTTTTTTGCTTCCCCAACTATGATAAACTATGATATGAGAAGATTGCCTATTAAAGAAGGCTCCGATCTTATCTTTACCAGTCCCACTTAACCCGAATTTGACGCTTCTTCAAGAGGCAAATAAATCAAGGTTACGTGTCTGTGACATATATTGCATATGGTAGGCAGCTTCATCTGACAGCCTTCCGCAGGAAGGAAAGGCAATGGTAATGACATGTTTATTTAGACACTAGGTAATCTTGTTCATCTCTCATGAAAAGAAATGCAGAAGCCAATTACGGCAATCAAGAACACTCAATTGGAAAACAAAAACCAACAAAAAAAACCACTCAGTAGGAGTAAGAAATGCCTGTCATCGGGAAGTGTTCCAGTATGGACTTTTATGAAACAATTAGTGTTACAGAGCTTTGCTACAAAGTATAAAAATGTCCCATTTTCTGTAATCAAGGCGGTGACAACACAAGATGA